TTTTTATTATTATTTTTATTTATTTTTATTTATTTATTTTTTAAACCTGAACAATCTGATTTTGAGTCCACAACCAAATGTAAATCAATCCCAAGAGCTCTCAATGACCAAGTGTTCAATTGTGTTTATAAACATAATACGCACACCCTAAGATAATAAAAGTTCTTGCAACTTCATTCATATATCTCTCCAAATGCAAAATTTATACGGAGTTTTTACATAAAATCCAGTTTGATAATATTCATTGTCTGTATTTAAATTAATAATTACAAATCTAACTTGCATCAAACATCGGTTCTCTTTGGTTGTTAAAAAAATAAAAATAAAGCTTCAGTTTCCTCTTGAGACCAATCTGGCACGAGCAGAACTTACATAAGCAATAACAAAATAACAAACATTAAGGATAGCATGAGCAAACCTGCATGAAGTTGTAACGAGCATAATACCCAGAAAAAATTCGAATAAAAAATTGAACATAAAACCCAGAAAAAATCGAACAAAAAACCCCAAAAAATCGAAATAATAACAAGAAATTCAAGAATATACCTAAATTAAGCCTTGAATTTCGTTTATAAGGTCAAGTTCGACCATAAAAACTCTAGATCTAGAGTTTTCATGGTCGAAATTGACCATAAAAACCTTTAAAACCTTTAAATTCATCAAGACATGGTCGAATTTCGTGTGGTATCTCGGAGTAGTTCGTAGGAAAAAGGGATGTGTAGTACTTAAAACTATTATTAGATACGGGGTGCAGTAATAGATCGTATACTAACGGAAACAGCCTACAGTAAAGTCATGGATAAACCCATTAATTATGTCCTTTGCATAGGGCATTTTCTTGGGAAGGTATGATTTCTAGACAGACCCATATTTATTCTTCTTCACACGAGTTTCACAGAGAGATTAAGAGTAAAAAAACCAGCTCAATTGTTGTTGACAATACATGAATTTCGGAGTTAATACAGAAAAGAGAAGGAACTCAAGAAGGAGGAGGAAGAAGGAAGAAGATGGAGGAAGAAGATGAAGGAGGAAGGAAGGAGAAATGAGGAGAGAGAATTTTATATAGGTTGTGCATTTGTGCGGCTATTGGTACTTTTATAGTTAGGGTTTTGGGTTTTTTTTTATTTATTTATTTATATTCGAAAATTCGGGTTAAGTGGGTCATTTTCGGGTTGGAATTTTCAACCTTGACCTAACCCATTTAATTTCGGGTCGGGTTCGTGTCAACTCATTTAAGTTTTCGTGTCGAAAATCTTAACCCTAACCACTATTTTCAGGTCAGGTTCGGGTCGGGTTTTCGGGTCGGGTCAGTTTTTGCCAGCCCTAGACTTTTAAATCGTGTTGTACAAGTTATTTAATTAAAGCATGATTATATTGTAATTCTACTATGATCATGATGATGTTTAATTCAAAAACAAATTTTCAGGTTTCCGTAATCAACTTCTGATCTCCATTCTTAATCACGTTTTAATCACGTTTAGATTCTAACTCATCCGATTTGTAGAATAAAATAGTGTTTTTCGTGTGTAAACGAGGTTTTAATCAAAACTAACTACCTTAGGTAGTGAGCACCACCCTCACGTGGCCAAATTCAGCCTTTAAATATGATTTTCGGGCAATTTTTTTTATTTTTAACGAAGGTTTAATGTTTAAAATAAATTTTCAAATTATTAAAGTTTTAATCTTGGGTTTAAATTGTATTGATTTCATGTGTTTCAAGTCTCTAATTTCATTAAACAAAGGTTGTGGTTATTTTATGATTATAAAGTTTGGAACTTTAAAGTTTAATTGCAAGAATAAATTTTCAGATTTTTGGTTATTGTTTTTGGAGTCTTTAATTACATTGAATTGAGGAATTTTTGGGTTTAAAGTCTACTAACTTTCTATATAATGTATGTAGTGATAAAGATTTCTATAATTTCAAGATTTCATGTGTAAAATAAATTTTCAAATTTTTATAAAGCCCTAAACTAGTTGTAATTTCAAGAATAAGTATGTATTTTAAGGTTTTTATGTAGGAAACTTAAAGAACTATATATAAGCTTTTAATTCTTGGAAAAGGGAAGGTTTTAAAGTGTTGTTTAATTGAATTTTAAAGGTTTTAAAGTAAGTTAGTATTGCTGTAAATTATATTGCTTAAGTATTGATTGAATTATTATTGTTTGGTTTAGGAGAGGACTTTGTAGAAGGCGATTTCTAGTTCCTAAGTGGCCAACCAACTCGTTTACTCAAGGTACGTACAAGGATACGGAAACCTTGACTTTAAGAGCATGTTTAAGGACTTGGAAGATTTAGAATCATGTTAGGAAACTTGTGGATTGGTTGGAATTGTATGGTAGTAAGTTTGATTGGTGATTAATGTGATGATTGGTTTTGTTTCATGTATGAGAAATGTGTATTACTTTATCTTGTAAGTATAATTTATGCATTAGCTTGGAAGATGAGATTAGAGGCAAAGGTACGTGAATATGTGGAATGAATTACTCGTTCATGATTATTGAAATGGAATGAGTAAAGGGAGAATTAAAGTCTTATAAGACGAGGTTGATGATTTGAGGTGCCTTATGCACCTAAGGTGTTTATACACCGAGGTAGTTAAGGGATTTAATAATAAATATTGGTTTGTCACTAACAAATCAAGAATTGAATTGGAAATTTGAATTGCTTGAATGATTGATGTATGATTGGTTGTATCATTTTGCATTAAAGTCATCAGCAAGTTTAAACTGGTAAATCACGTAAAGTGCAAGAAGGATGAGCAATAAAACTCTGGATTTGTGCACATCTAGAGTAATGACAAACAGGGGTTGGGGTTCACAGGGTATTAGTCGTGTACTTTTTAGAGGTTGTCTGATCTACGAGTCTCTTGTTTTCAAATACTTTTTAAAACTATAAGGAGCTAGATGAGATCTCATACTAGCTATGGCCACGGAGTCGCGCTCGTCTGCCATTGGATGATTATTGATGTTTTCGAAAGGAGGCAAGGAGTTTTTCTTTATTGATGTTCCGAAACAGAGCATGGGAAGACAACCTTGTCTATTACTTAAAATAATCAATGAATGAAATGAAATGAATTATCGTTAGTAATTAGTGAAGTCTTAGTAATGTTAACAGTTGAGGCATGTGTTTGGGTCAATAATTAAATTGTGTATGCTGATTGATTTTTTAGTAACATGCTAGGGATTCTTTGTTATATTTCGTAGCTTGTATGTACTCATCGTTACTGATTGCGTGCTTTTGTGAGTCTCTTTCCTAGTCATGGCCTTTGCCTTTTCAATGACCCTGTAATGATCTAATTTTTACACTTGTGATATTGGGGAGCATATTAATCACAGGTTTTTACATAATCAGAACTTGCATCAAGGTGGTGGGATTATGAGTGGAGTATTGGATATTTCCACAGTTTATTCCATTTTATAAGTTTTGGATTTATTTTAACTTTGGTTTGATTTATTTACTACTTTTATTGGTTTTGAATAAGGGCCTTAATGGTTCAAACTTGTAAGACTAAATTTGGTTTTGATTATTGGTTTTGAAACTTATTTATAACTGAATTAGTTTTTCCGCTGCTAAATTCTGAACTAGCCTTAACATTTGAACACGTGGCGGTAGCACATCAGTAATTCTCTTGCAAATTGTTAAAGGTATTTACAGGTTTTTAAGAGAGAATTATTGGGATGTTACAAAGTGGTATCTGGGAGCTTAGGTTAGATTAAATTAGCACTAAAGCCAATTAGTATGTCTTAGGCGCCTAACTAATTGATTAAGGATTTTGTATTTAAAAGTCAAAATGATTTTAAATTTACCTGTGTTTGAACTAATTGTTTTAAATATTTATAAAATAACTTTGAAGCTTGAATTATTTATTTGGTGAGATTCAGGTAGAATTAGAAAGGGGATGCATGCATAATTCACTAGATGAAAAAGATAAAAAGGCACCGGTTCAAACCCCCCCTTTGGCACCGGTTTTGAACCGTTGGGTATTTGAGGGATGTCAAATCCATGAAAATTTGGCATCGGTTTTAAAGCATTTATGCTAACTACATGATTTGGCACCGGTTAACCGGTGCCAACTACCATGGTGCGATTTTTTTATTTTTTTTTTATTTTCAATACTATTGGCACCGGTTCAAATCAAGAACTGATGCAAAAAATCCCACTTTAGGCACCGGTTCTAGTCCAAACCGGTGCCAAAAATACCCCAAAAAAATATTTTTTTTTTTTTTTGCATTTTTTTTTGCATTTTTTTCACTTAAATTGATATATAAACATTAACATATATATAAATTTACATATTTTCATTAAAAAAGGCTGTAATATTACAATTTTCGTCCAAAAAAAATTAAATAATACAGACTGCTCTGCTGTTTATGTTCTGCTACGCTGCTGTGCCTCTGCCTGTTCATGCTGGCTGGGCATCTGTTTGCTTCTGTGGCTGTGTCTCTGTTCTGTTCAGGCTGGCTGGGTGACTGGTTTGAGTTCTTGAGCTGCTGTGTTTCTGTTCTGCTCTGGTTAGGTTGTGCATGGTGTTTGCTGCTCTGCTGTAGTGCTGTGTTGCTTGCTGGTCAGGCTGCTGTGTTTGCTGGGTTCTGCTGCGTGGTCCTCTGTGTTTTCGGTACTAGTGAGCTGCTGTGGTGCTGTGCTGGTGGCGCTCTGATGTGCTCCTGTTTGTTGGGTTTTCTTGCTCGTTATTGCTCGAGCAAAATTTGGTAAATGAAAATATACAGTGTTACAGGTACAGCAGCTGAATGATACATGAAATTCTGTCTTCAGAGTGGAATATCAAGCCCTTTTTCGATCTCAATGCCTATAAGTTGTAGTATCCCTTTGTTCAATATCTGACAGAAACATCATTGTAAATGATCAAATCCCAATATATAGCATAAATCAGAAACTCAAAGAAACAATCAGCTATGTTTGAGCAGGAAAGATGTGGAAAACTTATCATACAAGTTCAACAATGAACGTTCCAATGAGGCCAATCATGCATGCTCTCGAGTTCCAAATTTCAGCAGTCTTGGTGAACCCGAGAAATGGGGGCTTGAACGTAGGTTCTACTTTCGACAGCACCACCTGATCAAATCAAATGATACTCATTACCCATCCAAATCGAGAGAGAAAAGGCCAGAAGAGACAAGATGAGAAAAAAAAAAAAAAATCCTATACATGATTGATATGAGCTGCAATGATCCATTAAGGTCCAATTTCTTTTAAGACATAATTAGGCAGAGAAATGACAGGTTAACGCATCAATGAAATACTATGACAGAATAACGCGAATGATTTTCACCCTTTCTGTAACACCAACCTTCAACTTATTTAGATTTAAGGGCTACCACCAAGTTCTTCCTCTAGGTATTTCCATAAAGCATATATCAAAGAAGTCAATCCATCACCATGTTTCAAGTATCACAAAGCAAAAATAGAAAAGATACAAGAACAATACAGGTGACAAAAAATAGCAAATTATTTGTAAAGAACAGCCGAACACCAATATAAACAAAATAGGTAAACAGCAAGACCAACTCAACCAAAACACAACGACCTCCTAAAAAAAACAGCCTGTAAACAAACACCAAACGAAACACAGCAAATAAAAACCAGCACCCAGCAAAACATGACAAAAAACAGCAGCAGCCAGTTGAGCAGGACCACGCACAGCCAGCTAATCAAAAGCATCAGCAAACAAAGTCAGCACAGGACTAGGAACACAGCCTGCACCAGCACCCTAGTAAACCAGCATCACAAGAACTCAGCTACACAGGAACACAGCAGCTCCAATCCACATCACAGCAACACACAGCACTGCATAATTAGGAAGAACGAAAACACAGCAGCCAGACAGAAGCTCCCTGCAGACCTCCAAAACACAGCCTGCACCAGCACCTCGGCAACCCAGAAAACAAGAACTCAGCATCACAAGAACGCAGCAGCTCCAAGACACAACACAGCAACACACAGCAATGCAACCAAGAAAAAACGAAAGCACAGCATCAGGCCAGAAAATCCCTACAGGCCCTGACAGAGACAGAACCAGCCAACAACACAATAAAAACAAAGACAAGCACACCCTGCTGCACAGAAACGTAGAAACACAGCCCTAGCACTGCACCCAGCCTGCATCAGGAGCACAGCAACCCAGTAACTCAAAAAGTCAGCAACACACATCAAAAAACAGCACTCAAGGCCCCAACACAGATAGAAACACGAACAGAAATCAGAATATCCAGATAAGAACACGAGCAGGGATCAGCAAGTCCAGCTAAGGCAGCAGGCAGACAAACATCAGAAGATCAGCAAGCTTACCAGAAAGCTTCAGAGACCATTTAAACACAAACAAAAACATGACCAGAATTCCAGCAACAACCAGAACATCAACACCAGGCATATCACACTTTAACAATTGCACCCACTTGCAATGATTCTTAGTCCAAGCCCTATCAATCAATTGCTGAATTCTCCCCATCACCTCCACACAAATTGACTTACATAATTTCATAGGAAGGATCACAGCCTTGTCGAAAACATTATACTTTCTCGAAAATTAATAATAGGCATAAACTCTAGCATCTTCAAGCAACGTACCATGGTAATCATACCTCATTGATTATTACATATCGAAAACACAAAAGCAATGCCTAATTCAACACGACACATACAAAGTCCCTTTGATAGAAAAATAACAAATGCATAGTCAAGGTCACAACATTTCAATCTTAAACAAGAAATTATGAATTTAGATGATACTCACAGTGAAAGAGATGCTTAGAAAGTGTTTCATTGGGCATGAACTCAGCAACTAGCAATCTCTCATCACCCTCACAACAACACCCAACTAAATTTGCCATTTTCTCACTTCTCAGCAGCCCTACTGCTCTTGCTTCCTCCTACATTTTATATCAAAATCCAATCAAACAACCAACTATAAGATCATTTTGTACCATTTTTGCTACTAATAACTAACACATATATAAAACTATAAGAGCATTGGAAAAATAGCCACTAACCTTTGAATTTGAACTCTTTTTTGAGGAGCAAACAAACTAGATCTACAATTCCTACAAATGATGGAATAAAAAATATTAAAATTAAAAAACTTAGGATTTATGGTTAATTAATTGAAACTAAATTAAAAAAAAAATAGAAATAAAACCAGAACCCTAAAATTACAAAATTGAAAACCAAATCAACGACAAACCCTAGATTGCGAAGGAATTCAGTAGATTAAGAAGATCACATTACCTCGAAGCTGCTTCAATGGAGGTGAGAAAGCTCAGAATCGGCTTCAATGGAGAATATAGAGCACGAGTTCAATGGAGGCCAGAGATATGAAGAGAGAAGGAGGTGCTGCTTCAATGGAGTGAGAAAGCTCGTAAACCACTTCAATGGAGAAGATGAAAATTCGGGATGGTGGAAGTAAGAGAATTGAAGGCGAAAACTAGAGCTAGGGAAAACAGAAGATGGAAAAAACGGGGGGAAAGAAAGAAAGAAAAGCAGGAGCCCGGTTTTTTTTTAATAAGTTGGCACCGGTTTGAACCGGTGCTAATTAAATGATTGGCACCGGTTTGGTAGGAAACGGTGCCAACACTGATTTTTTCAATCCCGCCCATTTCTTTTGGCACCGATTTTCAAGAACCGGTGCTAAAAGGGGGGTGCCTATTTCATTTTTTCTACTAGTGATTATATGATTGTGTTCTAATTGATTTCCTCTATGATGTGCTTGTGGCAATTGTTTGAATGCTTGTTATGTTGGGATAACGTAGAGAGATGGAAAAAAAAAACCCAGTGAAGGTGACTCAGCATAATCAGGAAGTAAAAATCGATTACAGCACAGACTCTTGGGATGAGTGGACCTTACATCCAAACCAAAATGATGAAGGGGAGGTAACATACCAGCATTGGTACGAGTACAGAACAACTAAGAGGAAAGACAGAAAGAAGGCCATTTGGAGGATCCTTAATGAGATATTAGATGACGAGGAGGACTTAGAACCGCCAAAACCACAAGTTGGGAAGAGGACTACTAGGAATCCAAACCCACTTTATAAAGTTGTTATTGAAGATTCCGAAGATGAGAATGACCCTATTTTTGATGTTAATACTTATGAGGAAGAGAAATACAATAACTCAAATGTCGTCCCTTGAAGTCATACTTACTAGCATATATATAGTATTAGGAGTTTCTATTTATAATGGTGACTATTAGGAATTTTATGGAATAAAGTATCTATTTTAATAAGTGGCAGAGAGCTACAAACTATTGTTTGGGATTAGTACTTTCATTCGAGTTATATTAAGAGTTGTTATTTTATTTTAAGGATTCCATTTTATTTATATTCTTGAGTTAGAAACAAGTTAAATTTTTGTGACTACTTATAATTCTGAGGCAAACTTCTTTGTTTATGATTAAGTTGAGTAAGAGTGGCGCGGGATGAGAATTAATTTCTTAACTTTATTTAATCTTGCGTGTGGATTGTGCTTATATTCGTTTGATTTTGCTTGGGACAAGGGGGTGAAAAGACCAAAGTACCCTTTTGAACCAATTTACGTGATAAAATGTAATGTTGTGATTGAATGAGAATATGTGCATGATGTTTGAAATCTGTTTAAGCTACAGTGAATGTTTACCTTCTTTCAGGCGTAGAACTAGAATGGCAAACAATGCTGCTTTAACTAAGGCCATCCGCATGTTGGTTGAGAACTTGAATCAAAACCGGGCGACCAACCCGATCCCCAAGCTGAAATGTTTAAGAAGTTGGCTCAAGTTAGGCCACAAGTTTTCAAGGGAGGTGCCGATCCTACTTTCTTGGAAAACTGGATTCGAGAGTTCGATAAATTATTTGTGGCATTGAATTGTCCTGAGGGTATGAAAGTTGACCAAGCTGCTATGTACCTTAAGGATGAGGCTAATATCTGGTGGATAGATAATGCTGAAATAGTTAAGGCAAACCAAATTTTGGGTGGGATGTGTTTAAGACTGCATTGAGGGATGAGTTTTACCCCCCATTTCTGAAGAAACAGAAGGCTCAGGAGTTTATAAACCTAGAGATGGGATAAATGTCAATTTCAGAGTACTACAATAAGTTTATGACCCTTGCTAGGTTTGCCCTTGAGGTTGTCCCGAGTGAAGAACTGAAGGCTCAGAGGTTTGAACAAGGATTGACCAAACACTTACAGAAAGACCTAGCTAGGAAAGTTTTTAAGACCCTAGATAAGGTATATGAGAGAGTTGCATACATGTATCATCTAAACTCTAGGGATGTGGGAGAGAGTGCTAAGGTTGGGGAGAAATGGAAGGACTATGGGGATTCTGAAAACCAAGGTAACTTCAAGAGGTTTAGGAACGGGAACTCATTTGAGAGGGGTAACCAGAATGTTAGTAATTCTTTTAATGATAGCAATGGGGAGAGGAAATTCTTTTGCAAGTGGTGTAGTAAGAACCACCCTGGGAGAGACTGCGATGGGAATTCAGTGACTTGCAGGTTCTGTAATAAGAAAGGGCATAGGGAGTATGAGGGTTACACCAAGCTAAACCAACAAGGAAATAATGGAAATGGTGGAAATAACCAACAGAGGTCTAGTAGTTCCTATAACCAGGGAGGAAAGAGTAATGGGCAGAATGGTCGAAATGGGAAGTCTGGGTTTGGTAACAATAATGGCAACGATAATTAGTGGCAACAATGGTAATCAGGGAAGGAGCAACACTCCCGGGCGTTTGTCTGTAATGGGCAAAGGAGAGGTTGAGAGGTCCTTAGATGTGATTACTGGTACTTTCTTTATTCACTTAACTCTTTTCTTAAGGTGAGTTACGGGGGCGTAATTCTTTTCTTTAAGAGGGGTAGGATGCGATATAAATTCGCGCTTTTTACCTCATCTATGCCATTTATTGCTTAAGTTTGCATGATTTTTACTCATTGTTGCATAATATTATTGTGTTTGCATGCTATTAAAGTGTGTAAACTTTGGCCAAGTACGATTTTGTTGAGTATAAGTATGAGTTTGTTGAGTATATATGTGTTAAGAAGCAAGCAATTTATAGCAATACAAATCAAAAGTTTTTGAATAATTTTGAGAAATTATGATTCTAGGTTAAGTTTCGGGGACGAAACTTCTCTCAAGAGGGTAGATTGTAATCCCCCGTCTTGTTAAATATTTTATAAATGAATTTTTTTTTTAATAATATGTATTTGTATTTTTCTAGAATTTAATTTTAAAAGTTTCAAATTATTAATTGGGTCAAAAATTATTTTAGGCTAGATTATTTTATGAACCTATATCCTACAACCCATTATCATAAAAACAAAGTCTAACCCATTTGTTTATTTGATTGGCCCATTATTTATATGAGTCCCAATTCTACCCTACAATTCTCTCCTATAAATACCCCATGAATCCCCAAATATTCCCCACAAAAAAGGTTAGTCTTTATTTCTTTTCCCTTTATTTTCTTTATTTTATTTTCCCTTCATTTTTCTTTTTATTTTTTATTTTTTATTTTCCTTTCCTTTTTTTTTTCTCTTCTTTCTTCTTCTTCTCTTTTTCCTTCTTCCTTCATTCTTATTTTTGCTCTGATCCTTCATTGTTTGATAACTATTTTTATGACATTGTTAATTGATTTTAATGGTTTAATCATGTGATAATTTATCTTAAATTATGAGTTTTATGAATCTTATTATACACCTATAATTTCAGAAATTTTATTCATAAAATTAAGGCTTAAAAACGTTAGTTTTCATGTTTTGGGGTTTTAAACTGTGTTCTACAAGTTATTTAATTAAAGAATGATTATATTGTAATTCTACTATAATCATGATGATGTTTAATTCAAAACAAATTTTCAGTTTTCCGTAATCAACTTCTGATCTCCGTTCTTAATTTTTTTTAATCACGTTTAGATTCTAACTTGTCCGATTTTTACAATAAAGTAGTGTTTTTCGTGTGTAAACGACATTTTAATCAAAACTTACTAAGTTTTATGTCTGTTTTCGTGTGTAAATCAAATTTCATAGCATTCCCAAATAATAGATTCTAAGTGTTATAAATTTTACCGAACTTCACGGTAAAATTCATAACACTAGGGGGGTATGTAGATTAAAAAATAAAATAAAAAATTCTCGCTTAAGTGTTTTAAATTTTACCGAACCACACGTTAAAATTCACAACACTTGGGGGGAAGAACAAAAAAAAAAATGTCAATCGTAACGAGCCATTTTAAGTGTTCGGATTCTTTTGAACTACACGAAAAATTCATCACAATGGGGGGGGGGGGGTAAATAAGATATCAAAAAGGATGCCTTTTTTCAATGGAGATGCCTTTTTTATAGAGTTCAACTCTTACAACAATTCCCAAGGGAGGCCTTGGGTATTTATAGGAGAAGCATCTCCATCCTTTTCATTTCCAATCAATGTGGGACTTTGCAAAGTTGAGAAATAAATGCTTTTAATTTAATTCTAAAATAAATTTAAAATGCAAACAACAAATAATCAAACAACAAATGGCAATCACATGGGAGTGTTTAGGTGAGGACCACAAGGGAGAGCCACATGGCCTCCTTGTTCCCCAAGCCACCAAACCCACTTATCATAAGAAGTCATGACCGGTCAACATCCTTGAGCACCAAAAAATGGCCGGTCAAGGCCTCCTTGACTCGGGTTGGGCCTCCCAGCCACACCGCAAGCCCACGCGTGCACCGGGCCTACTTGTGCGCTGCTCGGCTTGGGCCTACTAGCACGCAATGCAAGCTCACGCGTGCGGCTGGGCTGCTGTGCATTGCTCGGCTGCCATGCCAGCCCTGCTGGCGTGCCATGCTGCTACTCGTTGTTGCTGCTCTTGCAAGCCTGCACCCCTTTGCGGGCTGCTGGTGCTTGCGGCAGCATGTGCTAGCCTAGCCCTCGTATGGCTAGGCCGATACAAGGCTAGGGTTATGCACTTAGATTTTATTATTCGTTGTTTGACTTATTTGTACGTCTCGTTAATTCCTAGAATTTAACTTGACGTTCGACGTTCGGTTTCGACGCTCAAAGCTCGGAATCCGACGTCGGAGTACGTATCCTCTTGTTTGACATATTAAGGCCTTCAGCTTAATTCATCACCTTAGTTTGGTTGCACGCTTGGGTGTGACCCGTTGGGTTCGGTCAAAGGAAAGCTGTGAGATTAATATAATTAATCTCACTGATCGGAGATGACCTCTAGCCCAACTTTCCGATCACTCGACTTCACTGAATAATTAACTCCGTAATTAATTTCGAACCCTCTATCGGAATAATACACTTGTTCGAAGGACACCAATTCTTTCAGAAGGAGCCTTTTTGCAAGGATTTGAGGATGGTTCGGTAATTTTATTCCTTACCGTGGGATTTTGCACTACCCACTTAGGAAGGCTAGTCCAATACTCAATCCAATGGGGAATTCGTTCGGCCTTAAAATTCACATCCTTGGGAGCATCACAATCTTGTGGAGGGATAAGT